TCTATGCAATACTCTACCAGTCTTTCTTCTCCTTCTAAATGTTGAGATCTCTACAGTTGAAAACATAAGGAAGATGAACTAAAAGTAATAGAAATGTGAAAACTTGCCTTTTAGGCTTACAATCATTAAAGATTAGATCAGAAATAATCATGACTGCTTTATCTACCACCATTTATTCATATAAGGCAACAGGCTCCATTCCCTACCAAGAGCAGGACTGAGGGCACAAATCCGCAGTAATTCCAAGTCAAGCACAGCAGCAGCATTTTTTGCGTTGGCTTAACCTGCTTGGCACCCCACCTTTAACAACCAGTGACTGCTTCCTTAAAATATACTGCTGAGTGGGGGTATAAACCCGCCCTATTTGCCAACTGTGGAGGGTTCCCACAAAGCTTGTGGGTATGCATAAATGAATTCTGTCACTTTTTTTTTTTTCAGTAACTAAGAACACAGGGTGGGGGAGGGAGCAAACTCTCTCGTGTTACTGTACCCTGGCAATGGTAAACTATGTGAGACATGTTTTTATCCTTAAAATGCAAAAGCACTTTAAAATTGGCCGGCACCTTATTGAAGATGACTGACAACTGATGGAAGGTTATAAAATACTCTGCTTCATGCAGACTCTAAGAAAGCCTCTAGCAGAAAATATTTGAGAAATTCTTCTCTAATAAGAAAGTCCTGTAGGCCAAGCTTTAAAGAGTCACAACATTTGGATTCTGAAGTATCATGGAATTTCAATGATAGAAATGGCGCAGGATTTCAAAGAAACAGGAAAAACCATAATAGCATTTAATTTAAATATTCTCAATGAAATGTGTCTGTATAAAAATGATAAATCTATATAGTTTTACATTGTTTACTACATTTTGTTTTATTTTCATTGTTTTACTTTTTTAAAACTCTCTGCTGGATTCTATTCTAATAACACTTTTTACTAGAGATATTGTTAGATATGCTAATTAATTAGGTTTTAATGTACTTCTCTTATGTAATCATTGGAAAGGCTCTTAAAATGTGTATATAAACAGAATAAAAGCAGCATGACTGAGTAAAAAATGGGTAGATTGATTATTGGATTCTCCTGTTTTGTTTTTTCACTTTTGTGACCTTGACAAAGTCACTAATCTTTTTTAATCTCTGTTTTCTCAAGTGGAATTTAAAAGGATTGAATCAAGTGATCTCTAAACTCCCTTCAGCCATCATTCTCTAAAATATTTAAGACCTCCCTGCAAAAATTAGCTACATATCTCGGTAAAACTTTGCCACAGCTCTTTATGCCTGCAACAGATGGTAGATCGTACACAAAAATGCTCAGAATTCAGACTTGCTGGCTGGCTCCAGGAAAATAACTATAATAAACACTCATCTTTCAGACTATACAATTTTTTATCATTGAAAGGACTGCACTAAATTTTAACTTAGTAACACCTACAAGGAAAAAAAATACTTCCCAACAGCCTAAGGTTCCTAAGTAAAGAACACTTACAGAAAAAGACTTACACAAAGAGATAAGTTGCTTTTAACATAATCGAATACTTTGGAAAGTAATTTACATGTGACAATTACTATTTTTTTTGTTTAAAGCAAGTCTTTTTGTGGAAAGGTTCTTGATAACAAATTCAATTTCTTTAACAGACATGAGTTATTCAGATTTTCTGTTTATTCCTGTATCACTTTTGGTACATTGTCTGTTTTCCAAAGAATTGGTCCATTTCATCTCTGTTGTTGAAGGCAGTTGGCTTAAAGTTATTCATATGTTCTCTTGTGTTTTTTTTTAATGTCTATAGGATGTAGAAAGATGGCATCTCTTTAGTTTTCAGTATTGGCATTTTGTGTTTTATCTCTTCTTTTTCTTGCTCAGTTTTGCTAGGAGCTTGCAAATTTTATTAGTCTTTTTAAAAAATCAACTTTTGGCTTTGTTAGTTTGCTTTATTGCTTCATTTGTATTTCATCCTTTTCAGTTCTTATTATTATAATGAATGTTACAGGCACATTTAAAAAAACATTCTATAGTTGTTGGATATTGTCTTCTATAAATGTCAGTTAGGTCAAATTAGTTGATGGCTTGTTCAAATCTGCTATATCATTATTTATTCTTTTTATTAATTTTCCTGTCAAGTACTAAAAGAGGCACATAAAAATTCCCAGCAATAAGTATGGAGTCGTCCATTTTATTCTTTAGTCCTGTCAATTTTTGCTTTATGTATGTCAAAGTTTTATTACTAGAGCATATCCTGTATATTTAGTATAACTGTTGATGCAGTTAGGTTTTAGTCTACCATTTTCACATTTGTTTTTATTCACTCCTTTTGGTCCTCTTTTCCTGTCCTCTTTGGGTTAACCAAGTAGTAGTTCTTGTTAGCTTTTTGTATTAGCAGTTGATCTGGGATTTATGCTGTGCATTCTTAATTTACCACACACTGCTTCGAGTTAATACCACTACACATAAAATAAAAGAAACTGGCAAGAGTATAACTCCATTTCTTTTGTTATTATCATCACATATATTTGCATCTCTAACTCATAGGTAGCATAATAATATTATAATTTTGCCTAAAATGGTTGATTTGAAAGAAATTTGTAAAATATATTTTATTTCATATTGATCAACATGTATTTTTTAAATTCAATATTATTTCTTCTGTAGATTCAAATTTCCATCAGATGTCATTTCCTTTCAGCATGAAGAGCTTCCTTTAATCTTTGTTAAGATTAGCTGTCAATAAATTCTCATTCTTTCAATTTAGCTGAAAATGTCTATTTGCAACCTTAATATTATGAGATAGTTTCATTACGTACAGAGTTATCAGTTAATATTTTTTCTTTCAGTATTTTACATAAATAATTTCATTGTCTTCTGGTTTCATCATTCCTAGGAATGTAACTCTCTGTAAAATGTACTGTTTTCCTCTCTGGTTATCCCCAACGTTCTTCTTTTTTTTTTTTTTTGGCCTTCAATTTTCAACTCTCAAACTATGATGTGCCTGCCTGTGGGTTGGGTATTTTTTTGTGTGTGTATTTATCTTGTTTAGAATATGATATATAAAGATTTTTTTTGTAAATTTTAAGAAAATTCAGTCATTATTTCTTCAACTACCTTTTCTGCCTCATTCTGTTTTTCTGTTTCTGAGACCCCAATTCACACTTGTGAATTGATAGGCCTGTTGATTTTAACTTATAGATCACTGAGGCTCCATTCATTTTTTTCTCAATTATTGTTTTCTCTTCTCCCAATTAGACTCTATCGATCTGTAAGTTTACTTATTTTTCTACTGTCTTCTCCAATAAGTTATTGCTCAAACCAGCCAACGAAATTTTCGTATCAGGTATTACAGCTCTCTAGGATTTTCATTTGACTTCTTAAAATAGCTTCTATTTCTCCACTGGGATACTCTGTGGCTATGAACACCTTTTTCTTTAAATACTTGAACACATATAATAGCTGCTTTAAAGTACTTATCTACTAATTCCAATAACTAGGAATATCTTTTTTGATGTAAGTAAGATTTTCCTGTTTCTTAACATGTCTAGTATTTTATCTATTATCTACTTAACACTGGACATTGTAGAGATTCTGGATTCTGTTTATTGTCCATGAATAATTGTTGACTTTAAAAAAAAATTCTAGGCAGTTTCTAAATTATTGGTTTTATCATCTTAAAACTGTTGAAACTTGGTTTTATGCTTTTGTTAGGGTGGGTTAGTTTGTTTTGTCCTTAGTACTAAGTTGAGTCCCTTTGTCCTGAGATATAGCCTCCACTCCTTAGGTGCTGGCCTTCTAAGATTTACAGGGACTGATGTTTGATGTTTTTACTAAGTTCCTGGCACTAAAATAGGATATTTGTTTATTGGATATTTAAATAACTGTGTTGCATTGTTTCATCATATATGGTCATGTAATGCAATTACACAATACTAACCTTACAGTTGGATGGATGTTAAAATTCATTTTTTCCAAATATTAGGAAATTAATAGTGTGTATACTATATATTATATATCACTCAAGCAGGATCTGGGCCAATGTTCTCCTGTCAAACACATTAACATTAATTAGTGAATATAATTAATATTTATGTGTGTGCAAAATATGAATATTCACATGAAGTGAGAAAAGTAAAAACTATGATTGATCATAATTACTTGTCACTTCAGGTCAGATTTTGACACTAACAGTTGTGGCACAACCTTTGGTGACATCAACTTTTAGTTCCTGGAGCCTTCTGGATTTTGAAATTGTGGAGGAGGGATTATGGGCCTTATACAGCTACACGTTTTGAGTAATTGAGAGGAGGAATAAAGAAGAATATCACATAACAAAATGTAGCCTAAATAATATATGTAAACAAACCTGCATTTACTGAGGAGTCAGATCTCCAAACTTGTTGAGATTTGACAAACTTCAGTCTCCAAGGTTTACCCAAGGTCATCTACATGGCCTGACACAGTGCTTCACACCTAGTCAGTACTAAAATATTATTTGATGAATTAATGAATTAATATGTTACCAATGAATAAGAAAACACAAGCGTGAAACCTGTCCTTTTTAGAAACTTCGCTGTTACCTTTCTATGATCCCTTCTTTCCTTCTCACTCTCCAATCTATCTCACAAAGTCAATAATTTTTCACAAAAGTTACTTGACAAATTTGCTACATAAAGTAGCAAAGCAAGCTTAAGAATCCCTCATAGAGTCATTGAAAGGTGTTCTACCATAGTGAATTGCAGTACACAGTTTCTAATAAACAAAACATCGTGAGATATTGTTCACACTGCTTTCCCTAGTGACCACATAGTAAACTTCAGCCTAATCTACTGAACGATCATTAATACACTTGGAAAAAAGAGAGTTTTTTTTTTTCTCTTTGGGCTAGTCAAGTTAACTGAGAACACTGAAAAAAATATGTTAAAAACCTACACTTCTTTAATCTTAGAGACTTAGGATGAAATAAAAAAGCATGCACATTAACTTATACTTTTCTGCTATCATATAATATATATACCTGGGTTGGGGCTCTGGTTCTGGCTTGATAGCTAGTTGCTCTTTTTTCATAAAAGTTTTCTAGAATAAGAGAAAGAAGCATTGATGTTAGTAGGAAAAATGTCATAGTCTACAAACTTTTAATTTGATTGATGCCCTGTTACATTATCAAAGGGAGAAAGAACCGTTCCATGATAATATATATTATAAGCCTAAACAACAATATAAATTTGCAAGTATACTCAGAGAACAATGATCGTTGAACTGCTTCCAGCATCTTTTGACACCCAAGAATATAATTCCTACTGATCGTTTCAGTGGGCCAATGTACATACAAATCTAATTCAGATGAGAATTTGTTTCTTTACTCACTTGTTTGTTTTCTGTCTTATAAAACAGTTTTAAGGTAGCTTACAAAACATACAGTACATAAGAAAAATAAAATCAAGTCAAGGGGAAAATAGGTATTGAACAATAACGTCAAATATTTTCTGATATTTCTTGATGTGTCACACAGATTGGGCTCTCAAACTTTTAGCTTTCAAAGTATTATAGACTAAATTGTGTTCCTCCAAAATCCATGTGTTGGAGCCCTAATCAGTAATGTGACTATGTTGGTAAATAAAGCCTTTCAGTGGGCAACTAAGGTTAAATGAGGCCATAAGGGTGAGGCCCTATCCAATAATACTGTCAGCTTTGTAAGAAGAGGAAGAAATGCCAAGGGCACATGTACACAGAGAAAAGGCCACGTGAAGACACAGAAAGAAGCAAGCATCTTTATAAGCCAAGGAGAGAGGCCTCTAGAGAAACCAGCTTTGCCGGCATCTTGGTCTTGGACTTCTACCCTCCAAAACTGTGAGAAAATTAATTTCGGTTGTGTATACCACACAGTCTGTGGTATTTCATGATAGCCAACCTGGCACACTAATACACAAGGCAATGAAGAAAACATAGTAGATCCAACATTTATAATGTATGTAACTGAAGGGAAAAAATGGGTTCTTCAAAAGAAGCCTGGTGTAATATAATGGTTGGCTTCAAGAGTGTCTCTCCAAAAATCACACCAGAGTGTTTAATGTGGATTTTTTACACAATCCTTCAGTATCAGTCAACAGTAGAAAAAACTCAGGAATATAATTCTACAAGACCTCAGAATCACTGGGCCATTGCATTTCTGGTTATTTGGCATAATCCAAAGGTTAAACTGATGCCTAGAGGCATCAAAGGACTGCATATCCACTTTGTAATATGTCATGACAATTATTTTTCACAGAACAGCTTTTGAAAAAATGATCTGAAATAAGAGGAATTTGAGGTAATCCTGATAAAAATAGTAAAAGGTTAATGCATTTTAGGTTGTTGGTGCTGTCTTCTCCCTCAGAATCTATACATTAGTAATAGAAAATGTCTTGGCTACTGAGATACAGTGCGTTCATGTTCTACGTGGGAAATGCTTACTTCAGTTTTGCTTTTTAAGTTTCAAAGGTGCTTTTAAACACTATTTGACAATTGAAGCCAAAGAATTCTCTTACATAAAACCCTATGACATATAAAGGATTAATATAAAGATGAACTGTGAAAGAAAATTGTATTTGTATTGTAAAAATACTCAGTATCAAGACACAGAGTGATTGTTTTAAATATTTTAAACAAATCATGAATTCTTCATTCTGTCTTATTCAAGTGCAATCTAACTTATGTTAATTTGTATTTCATTGCATTTATTTTTTTAAGATCAAAGAGTAACTTTTCTTCTATAGTTATATTAGAATGCAACAATAACCTTGAGAATTATTTTACATCATCTCTCAAGTATTTGTTACTTTTAGAATTCCCTGACCATGTGTTTTTTAAAGTAAACAATGATCCTAAAGAATAAAATTGTACATTTTAATATTTATGTGGAACATGTAGGCAATAATAAAACATGGAGCAGGACCTTTATTTTAAATATAGCTCTCAAGATGTTTCAACATTTATACATGGCTACAAAAATACCAAGAGTTGCAAAAATTAATTTTTAACCTACATATTCCATATGTTTACACACAGCAACATGCTTGGCCTAGAACCCACTGCCCTTAAGTGACACGACTATTGACACTTGCCAGCTTGTTTTTTTAGCTGCTTCCTTCTTGGCCAGACTAACGGCGTTAGCCTGCTGTCCACAGGGAAGGGTGTCAAATGTGAAGGCTGCCGAGGAAAACAGACTCAGACAAACATTTGTGAGGGTTTTTCATACCAAGATGTTCTCTGATTTTTTCTAGTTACTCTCTTGCAACTTCATGGCCTTCACAGCCTCTACTGTGTTTCTGTCCCCCTACCTGATTAAGAAACTATTTTTTCTCTCCTTTTTGCAAAGTCAATATCAGTCCTTTATTTAGGGGTTTTCTCATTCTTAGCTTCCTACGTACTTAAATATTCAAATTTCAAGTCCATTCTGCCTTAATGATTCAATTCCATTCTCTCTCAAAAATCTTTCCTCTCAACTACAACCTGCTTCTTTTTAAAAAATATTTTTATTGATTTTAGAAAGAGAGGCATTGATTTGTTGTTCCACTTATTTACGCATTCATTTCTTAATTCCCGTATGTGCCCTGATCGAAGATCGAACCCACCTGGGCATGTAGGAACGATGTTTCAACCAACTGAGCTACCCAGCCAGGGCCTGCCACCTGCTTCTTTAAAATTCTTCAAGATCCTACTCTCTCCATGACAATGCATTTGAAGTGACACTTTCTAAATACCTGGTTGAAGATGTAAGTCATTTATCAAAACCTCATGTCAGAATTTTCAAATTTCTAACATCCTGTGTGGATTTATTCCAAACCACTTTTCAGACTCCTTTCCTCAACATCTTTTCTCAAATTCCACAATTTAACCGGTACCAGATTTACTTTTGATAATTTACACAATATTATTCCACCTCAAGTTTTGTTTTAAAAGCAGCTTTCTAATCCATCAATTCTTTTCTTTCCAAATCTCATAGAAATGTTTTTTGCTTTTGATAATTCTTCTAATTTCTTTCATTGCTTAATGATTAATATCTTGCACTTATTAACTATAGATGAACTATTCAAGAAAGCCTTGCATTTTCTTCTTAATGCTAGATATTTTCTATACTACTATTATTAGTATGAAATTCTGGGATATGTTTGTTATAAAAAAAATAACCTACAAATGGCATATTACACCCCCAGTACTTACAATCAAAATCAAAGGGTATTTTCTAAGTAGCAAAGAATTCTCACAGTTTTTAACAGCTTTGTGACCCTACCAGAAACATATATAAACACACTGAGTAAAATGAAAGGTTTATTTTAAAATAGGTCATTGTAAAGAGAAAATTATTAACATATACATATAAAACTATAAATTACACATTAAAACATGTGAAATAAACTGAAATGCTTTTCCTGCCAGGCTTGAACATCAACACTGTGTCTTCCCTGCTGAAGTCAGGTGGCCACTAGCACTTTCCATGAAACAGCAGTGAGCTGTGTTCTGCACACTGCTACTGCTTCTCATAGAAGAAATGGGCTAAACAGTAAAGTGTCAACAATGTGCACACATGCAAAACCAGGACACACCAAACGCACCATTGTGGACTTTTCACGAGTCTATATATTTGCATTATTGAATTGTAGAGTTTCCAAAAGCACACACTAACCACAGGAGGAATTCCAAGACATAGAGCCACCGCTGCGAAGTTGTAGTAGGCCCAGGAAACCCATATTTCCCACAAATCTTCTCATGGAGACAGCGATGCTTCCATTTTGAAAGGTGGTCTCTAGTGTGGTGTTTCTTTTACATTTCCTAAGAGAGGTGGAGAGGGATACCAAAGCTAATGCTGCCCACCCTCTAATGGCCATGGCCTCAAAAAGCCATTCAACTTCTGGATGACGGGAGACTGAACAAGGTGACCCAACAAATCACAGGCTGTTCATTTACCAGTCACTAGACAGTTTCTTTAACTTCTAAGGGAAATCAAAACTAAGAATTTACTCTTTGATATGTAGGAATTTAAGCATAACACAGGAGACAACACAAAGACTGATGAGTAGAAGAGAGCTAGACAGAGAGATTTACATTGCAGTGAAAGTTCCTCTGAAGGTTGAAACCTATTTGTAAAAGATATAAGAAGACTGCTGTTTCCAGGGATATGCTCATAGTAACAAATCACAGTATAATACCATAATAAATGCTAAAGACAAAAATGAAAGATATTTTAAATGCATGGCTGAGCTGATGGGAAAGTAATAAAATTCCTCTCAGGGCAAGAACAACAAGAAATTTTGAATTTAGTACTGTATGAGTTTGGGAGACTGTCTTTGCCTTGGGGATTTCATGGTAATGTCAGACAACCAAAAGCCTGAATTTTAATGAACTACATGCCCTGAAGTTGGGAGACAAACACTGGCACCCAGAGCATGAAGGGATGTCAGAGTTGAGAACACCTCATAAAACCTATGTACTGAAAGTCCAGGCTCCTTGGAGTATTAGCCAGAATTTTAAATTTCCCTGGACAGAGAAAGAAAGAAATTAGGAAAAAGAGAAAGAGAGACTGTGAAACCATGTCTATCATGACCTTTTGTCACGACAGATAACCCCAGTAATTTTTGGTGACAAGACCTCATTCACATGGATTTGGGGACTCAATTCATACTAACTCACCAAAAGAAATGCAAAAAATTAAAATAAAGTGGTTCCTAGTTAGTAGTATCATAGAGTACCAGGTAAAAGCAATTACCAACCATTTTTAGAAGAATGCAGTTTAAACCCAAATAATCCACAATAAGACACCAAGAAAAATTAAATCACACTCAGAAAAGTCATTAAACATGAGAAAATGAGCAGTCAAGGAGTCAATAGAAATAAACTAAACATTCAGAACCTCAAAGATGTAATACTGTAATTAAGGTAGGCAAAATATAAAATAAGAATGAACTTCCATTTCTATATGTTTAGAGAATTATATTAAAGGAACCAAAATATCAAGGTTGACTAAGCTGATTTGGAAAGTAACAACTGGTCATTCTAAAATAAAATATATATATATATCTGAAATTGGAAACTCCATG